GGGCCTGATGGGCCTGTCCACGCCGCCCTCGAGAAAACTTGGAGGCCAGAATCGGCATTTCATCGAATTTGTTGATCCGATCACCTGCAACTGTGAATGGCTTGCCTCGAACTTTGAAACAAGCGCCCATTTCGTCCCAGATCTGGAAATTCGCTCCCGAGAATCCAAGTCCAGGGGCGAGATGCACTGACGCAAAAATGATGCCCCTGCCCTTGGTCCTAACCGCGGTGGCGCGCCACTGGCCGGGTTGATCTGCGTGGCCGCGCGCTTGCACCTGAAGCGATAGCCTATCCTCTACTGCCGCCGGGTCTTGGCACATACGCCTCTTGACCACAACAGCAACTCCCGCGCGCCCTTGGGTTCCTCCACCACCAGTGGCAACCGCAGGCGCTCGCAGCGTTTTGCAACCAACCTTGGCCAGGCGCTTGGAAGTCTGAATGGAACTTCTCTCTCGAAGGTGGGCCTCGGCGAACGAGACCACGTGAGCCTGCTGTGAGATGCCATCCCCGTCGTTGAGGGTCTTCCCCGACAGCGACGTAACGCTGGCAAAATGAATCAGGAATGTGCCCTGAGCTGCCGTGCCGCCGCTACTTGAATGCCCCCCTACGCCGTGAAGGGGGGTGCTGATGCGATAGCCGGCGGCGCCTGCGCCGCCGAGCCGCCTCCATGCGCGTGGCCATCCTCGGTCAATCCGCCAACTGAACACCTCCCCCTAGCCGCGTTGGGAGATACCGGGGCGATAGCTGACGACGCGCCCCCCCCCCCCCCGGCGCCGTCGCGCCCGTTCGCGAGGCCAGCGGAGGCTGCCGCCGCCTTCGCGGGCGGCCCGCGATCAGGCCCTCCAGATCTGATCATGAACGGAGGCTCGCCGTTCTCGCAGCCGGGGCCAATGCCGGGGGAGGCGACCGCCGCCGCCCTCGCGAGCGCTCCCCGATCGGACCCCCCCCCCGGATTTCCGATCCCGACTGGAGACGCATCGTCCTCGCAGCCAGGGCCTTTCGCTCGACGTCCTGGTCAGCGGGATCCATCGCCAGAATGTCCTCTCCTGGCCGTGGTGGGAGATGCTGCGACGATAGCTGACGGCACCTGTCCACGTGCATCGCCTCCACGCGCATGGCTAGTGGGGGCTACATCCGCCCTCGCGGGCGGCCCGCGATCAGACCGCGCAGGTCTGCCCCCGACTGGATGCTCGAAGCGTTCGCAACCAGGTCCTGGGCCAGGGGAGGCAGCGGTCGCCCCGCTCGCGGGCGCCCCCCGATCAGCTGGAGGCCCCAAGCCCTCGCAGCCAAAGCCCTTCGCTCGAAGTCCTGGCAGCCGACGATTAGCACTCCACGCGTTGGGGGCAATCTGTCGGTGACTTGGTCCTGCCTCGCTCTCTGGCTTCTCTCGCCGTGCGAGCCCGCTGCCGACCTGACTCCAGGAATTGTTGCCATTGCTCCAGCATGGTACCACCAACATCGAAACCAGAAGCCATAATAGTGCCCGGTTCGGTTGGGGCCTGGGTCAGGGCTGAAGTACCTGCAGTCTCTTCACCTTCTCCTCGGCCAGCCCCTCCCGCAGTTGGCGCCGCTCCAGCCTCCTGGCTTGGTGCTGCTGGCTGCTGGCCTTGTGATGGCTGTTATGTCCCTGCACCTTCACCGACCTCAGGCGCCTGGGTGAAGGCCTTGACGAACGCTTCTTTGAACGACTGATCACTTTCAACCAGTTTCGGTTTGCGGGCTTCGGTGCGGTCGCCGTCGCCAAGCTCTCGGCGAAACCCGCCAGCAACGCCTGTAGCTGTTGCTCCATGTTCGGCAGAACCTTGTCCACTTGAGTGCTCGGGTTCTGGATCGGCGTGGCACCCAAGGCCTTGGCCGCGTCAGCCTTGGCCTTCGTGAGCTGCGTTTTGACATCCTCAATATGCTGCCGCATTTCTCCCAAGGCCTCCAGCGCCTTCTCCGCGTTGAGGACCTGTCGCTCTTCCTTCAGCTGGGGCCCGACAAGCTTGTCCTGCAACGCTCGCACTGAACGGGGGACGCTGGTCCCATCAGTGGGTGGCGCCTGACCAGCTGCCTCGAGCCTCCGCCCATGAAGAAGCTTGTCCCTCTGACTCTGTGGGAGCCTCGTCGCCATGATGGCCAAAATCGCATCGTCGAAATAGAGCCAACATGCCCGCTCCTCTTCCGAGGTTGGTTGTGTTTCGTTGTTCTGCCACCCTTCCTGGCTCCACTTGGACTAGATAACCCATGGCAACTTGACAAACTGACGGGGCACGCGGGGACGGAACCACGGCGGCGGAACCGTGGGCGGCGGGCCTTGGGCCCAACTCCCCTGGGCATCCCCCCTCTCCTTGTCGCACAGTTGGCTTCTTGCCGTTGGGGCTGAGAGCCTTGCACACAAACCAGCGGCCGCAGCTCCCATTTTCCCACGCGTGCCCCCAACCAACCATGGGCTCCGACAGGAGCTCACAGCAGTGAAGGGGCAAACACGCGCACATGTCATGTGGTAGTATATCGGGAAAGTGTGGTGTTCCCTGCTGACCTGGGCACGGGTCGCTGAAGGGGGCGCGCCTCCCCCTTGCCACACTCAAATTATCTGAGCCTGCCGCTACGGACTTGGGAACCAAAATTGGCCAAACTGGCTACGAAATCCTCCTCCTCGTCCTTCTCCTCCTCTTCCCCCTCCTTTTCCTCTTCCTCCTCTTCCTCCTCCTCCTCCTCCTTTCCTCCTCCTCCTTCTCCTCCTCTTCCTCCTCCTCCTCCTCGTCCTCCCCCTTCCCCTCCCCTTCTCCTCCTCCTCCTCCTCCTCCTCGTCCTCCTCGTCCTCCTCCTCCACCTCCTCTCCCTCCTCCCCATCCTCCTCCCCCTCCTCCTCCTCCTCCTCCTCCTTTTCGTCGCCCTCCTCCTCCTTTTCCTCCTCCTCCTCCTCCTCCTCCTCCTCCGTATCACACCCTCCTCCACCTTTCCTCCCCTCCTCCTCCTCCTCCTCGATCCTCCTCCCTTGGAGGAAATGAAGAAAAGTGGTGGCAAGGGGAGGTCGGGTGCGGCTTCCGGGAGGGCCTCGCTGAGCGCGCTCCATCTTGTCGCCGTGCGCTCGGCCGCGATAGTCGACAAGGAAGGTGCGCAGCTCCTCGGGTCGGTCTTGCTGGCATGGGAGATGGGGCTTTCTATACGAGAGCTGGCCCAGCCTAAGATCATTCATTCTGATCCCTGTCCTACGCCAATGGTGACCCTGGTGTGTTGCACACGTTTGAAAACACATTCTGGATCAGCTGCTCGTTCATATTGAGACTAGGTCCCGTGACTCGTGCCACCCCTTGGTAAACTGAACACTCGGGACACTAAGATGACCCATCTCCCCTTGTCTTCTTGTACCAAATACGCGGAGACAGATCACAAAACCGTTACCATCAGAAACGTGCTGGCAGGAAGAAAGAGGGAGGACTACGCAGGCGAGCTACAGTCATCGGCCTGACCTAAGGAACGATAGATCAGGAGCGAAGCCTTTTTTTATCCCAAAGAATGACGCATAAGGAACGATACATGACAAATAACGCATAAGGAACTATACATAACGCATGCAAGCCTAAGGAACGACCGAGCCCCTTTTGAAAAGTCACTGTAGCCCTCAAATCTGTGTCTTGGCCCGCGGCGTCAGCCGCATGGCTGCGTATGGCCGCCACCAGCTCGAGCATCTTATCGTGCGTGAGCTCCTCGAGAAGCTTGCGCGCGTCCTTGGCCAAGCCATCCACCTCGACTACAGTCGAGGCGTTGACCTAAGGAACCCTAAATTCGCCGGCCCAACGGGCCAGGGCGTGCTAAGATGTCCGGTAACTGGTTAACAGTATTAACAGTATTTCTAGTTCGCGCGCGCGGGGCGGCCCCTGGGGGTCCCCCGGCGAAAAGTACCCCGACCAACGCCCGGTCCGACCGCCGCCCGACCGCCGCCCGACCAAGTCTACTCAGAGATGGTTTTCCTTCTGGGTGCGGCCTCTCAGGCTCCCCAGAGCGCGCTCAGAGTGCCCCAAGAGGCCCCCAAGACTGCCCAAGAGGCCCCCGAGACGCCCAAAGAGCGCTCGAAGACGCCGAAGATGACCCCAAGACGGCCCAAAAGGCCCCCAAGACAGCCCAAGAGGCCTCCAAGACGCCCCAAGAGCCTTCCAAGAGGCCTCCGAAGAGAGCCCCAAGAGGCCAAAATCGTTGATTTTCATTGGTTTTTTCGATGTTTTTTGTGTTCTGGCTTTTTCGGCTTCCGGACGCTCCAAGACGGCCCAAGAGGCCCCCAAGACCGCTCCAAGACGGCCCACGAAGCTCCCAAGACGGCGCCGAAACGACCCAAGAGAGCCCTCAAGACGGCCCAAGTGCCGCCCAAGACGGACCAAGAGGCCCCAAGACGGGCCCAAGAGGGACTCAGGAGGGATACCGAGAACTCAAAAATGGAGCCCTCCGTCCCAGAAGGCGCCCAGGAGGTCCCAAAGAGGCCCCAAGAGGCCTCCAAGAGGCCCCAAGATGTCGCCAAGAGGCCCCAGGAGACTCCCAGGAGGCCCAAAAGAAGCCCCAGAAGGCTTCAAACATGTCTCCCAGGCGCCCCCGAACGGCCTCTCAACAGACCCCAAGAGGCCCCCCAAAGAAGCATCTTGACGACGACTCTATTTCGCCCCATCGAGAGACGACCCCCAGGGAACTGCTTCACCATCAAAACTCCCCACGCAACGCGTCCGAACGACACCCGCCCCCAAGAGCGCAACATGGGCAACGAACACACAGACAAAAACCAGCGATGCCATATCACGGGCCGGCGGAATGAGCGAAGCGATTCAACATAAGGAACGAGGCCCCTATTTTCCATAAGTTGAACTTCGATTTTGCATCGAACACCTAAGGAAAATCCAAGGCAAGCTGCGAAACAATTAAGGAACACGGAGCCCCTCCCCAACGAAAAGGGTTCCTTCTTCAGGGCCCCGACTGTATAAATTTCTGCGGCAGGCTGCCAGCTCGGGGTGGTCATCGTTCCATTACCCGATGAGGTCTTCTGTGACGGAAGAGGACGGGGCGAAGCAGCAAGAGGAGTGGGAGGTCAAAACAGGTCAGGGCGCCCTGGGACAATCGGGAACACGCTGCAGACAAAGCACGGTCACCTGCGATGCGTCGTCTGGACGGACCGAGGCACCTCACGCGCGTCGGCAGGAAGGGGAGGGAGAATTGCGCCACCCGGAACTCTCCGGCAGCAAGACAGCATCCGTCGAGCTCGCCTGGACAAAAAACAGCACCAGGCCGAGAGGCGCGGGGAGGGAGAGGCGACAGGACCAGGGCAGAATAGAGAGAGAGTGAGAGAGAGAGAATGGGAGAGTGAGAGAGAGAAAATGAGAGAGAGAGAGAGAGAGAGACCGAGGCGCCTGCCTTTCCGTGTGCGCGTCCGACTGCCGGCTATCAAGCCAGCGTCACATCGGAGCAGCCTGACCCGCTTGACACGATGCATGCCCCGCTGGCGCAAGCAGGTGCCCAGCGCAAGGCCGGGAATGGAGAGCAAAACTGGATCGCGAACAGGCGATCTCTCCGTGGTCGTGCGGAGATGCTCGCTGTTCGAACGCGGCCAAGGCCCACTATGGAAAAAATTGTCCTGATCGGGAATGACGCACGCGAATTCTGAACGGCTAGGGCAGCCTCGAGGGCGCCAACATCTCATCTCCCCAGGTGTGTGGTCTGTGGCGTGTGCTGCGTGCCATATTCCATGGGTGGTGTGTTGTGTGATCTGCCTTATGTGTTGTTTTGCTGCTGTTGTTGTTGCTGCTGCTGCTGCTGTTGTTGTTGTTGTTGTTGTTGTTGTTGTTGTTGTTGTTGTTGTGATTGTTGTTGTGTGCGTGTGTGTGTGTGTGTGTGTGTGCGTGTGTGCGTGTGATGCGTGTGTGGCGTGTGTGGCGTTTGTGTGTGTGTGTGTGTGTGTGTGTGCGTGTGTGCGTGCGCGCGCGCGCGCGCGCGTGTGTGTGTGTGTGTGTGTGTGTGTGTGTGTGTGTGTGTGTGTGTGTGTGTGTGTGTGTGTGTGTGCGTGCGTGCGTGCGTGCGTGCGTGCGTGCGTGCGTGCGTGCGTGCGTGCGTGTGCGTGTGTATGTCGTGCGTTGGGACTAACATGTCCCTGATGCCCTGGACACGCACCGGCGAGGACCGCCTCGGGGTGCACGCGGCGCGCAGGGGGTACGAAGGGCAGCGCGGCGGATGCCCAGCTGCGGAGCCCACCCTGACGTGGGAGCTGGGCGCCCCCCACTCAGTACGGTGGAGGCGTTGACCTAAGGAACCCTCAATAAGGAACAAGGCCCCTTTTTGTCATAAGTTAACCTTCGATTTCCGATCGAAAACATAAGGAAAACCTGAGGCAAGCTGTGAAACACGTAAGGAACGCGGAGCCCCTCCCCAACCAAAAGGGTTCCTTCTTCAGGGCCCTGACTGTAGGTTCACGCTCCGTCCAGAGGTGGGGCCCTGGGTCGATGCGCAAGAGCCAGGGCCTGGTCTGTGGCCTCCCAGCCTACCCCGGACTGGACGGGCGCGCGCTTCCAGGAGCAAGAGCTGGAACGTCCAGGGGGGTACTGTGCAGACTGCCCGCTCCAGACCTGGGACGCGCGGCCCCCATGCGTGCGCGCAGTCCTGGTTCGGGGTGCGGTGCTGGTCTAGCCTGGGAAGCCGCAGCCGCGCGAACGCCAAGGCGGCGCCTGCAGGCAGCAGCATCCAGGATCTGGGCGATGACCTGGACGACCGCATGGCTCAAGAGGCAGCCGGGATATCGCAGACGACCCACTCGACGCCTTCGCAGGCCCCGAAGACTACACAGACAACATGGCGCCGCTCGACCAGGCAACCGGGAAGCAACGGCCCGCCGCCCTCACCGAGCAGGAGCTGCGAGCCACAGGTCGCGCTGGAGGGGGCGCGGGAGGAGAGGCACCCGGGCGCCCCTGCCGCGGCGGGGCGGCGGCCCGAGCTCTCGCCCGAGTGCGGACGCCGGGCCACCTCTGCCCTCGCCGACCCGAGGGCCGACCGCCCCCGGACCACCCGCCCCCCGGCGGAGCCGGCCGTCCGCCGACCACGGCCACGGCCTGAGCCCGCACCGCAGCCGGGTGCCGTGCAGCACCCTGATGGTCTGGTACCGGAAATTTTCGGTAGCGATTTCGACGCACCCCGAATTTCGGTAGCGACCGGATCTTCGTTCGAGGGCGTTGAAATAGCGGATTTCAGAACGGTCTGATACCGGTATTGGGCGCTACATTTCGGTATTTCGGTAGCGACCGATCTCTGCGGAGCGCTACCGGAAATTTTCGGTAGCGGACCATCAGGGCAGCCTGCGCAGCAGCCTGCGCAGCAGCCTGCGCAGCAGCCTGCGCAGCAGCCGGCAGGGCAGCCGGCGCCCTGGGCGCCGCCGCCGCCGCCCCTCCGGGCGGCAATTTCCAGGGCCTGGGCGCCTGCGCTCTCGCCGCTCTGCCCGCCGCCCGTGTGCTGCGGGAGCTCGGGAAGGGGGCCTCTGGTGAGCCTGGTTGGCCACAGGAGGTGCAGCTGCGGCCCCGCCAGCAACCCGCGGTGGGTCAGCCAGGGAAGCGAACCATGATATGCACATAAAAGCTCGGAGGTCCGCGCGGATCTCTCAGATCGACACTAGACCCCGCTCCCTGGCGCGCGGAGCGCGCCAGAGGCGCCGCCAGGTGGGGCTGCAGCGCCGATCCGAGGAATCCGCGCGGACCTCCGAGTTTGTACAGTCGGACTCGATTGGACAGGACACGCGAGAGCACACAAGACCCTTCCGAGGGCCACATTGCCATGGGGGATGTAGGAAGCATGGGTCGCGAGACTCAGGACACAAGGGTACCCTTGATTTGGCAGGGTCGACCTACTCATCTGGGCCGACTGTATGTTCATGTCATTGTTCGTTTCCCCATCAGCTTCTGCAGCAGGCACCCGGAGGGCCGCAGCCGGGCTCCTGCGTCCCTCTCGGGGCCACGGCTGCGGCGATTCCTGCTGTCTCTCTCTCTCTCTCTCTCGGGGAAGACGGGGGCGGTACTGGACGCCGACATGCTGGATCGGGGCGCGTCGGCCAGACAAAGGACCTGCCAACAATTTGTGCTGGCTCACCTAGTGTCCTTGGCTACAGTCAAAAGCTGCAGTGAGGACGGGCTACAAGGACGCAAGAGCTTCCAGCGACGCACTGCCGAACAAGTCTGAGGACGCAAGGGTGCCCTTGGGAAGCTTACCCCGTCCTCGCTCTGGATTCTCACTGCATGGTGCCAGAGGGAGGGCGGCGCGCCGCGTGGGAGCAGTACGGGCCCGACCTACCTGCTGGGGTTGCAGAGATCCCCGTGTGCATGAGCGAGGAGCTCCTCGGGGATTTTGTTCTGAGACTCGGGGTGGGCCGCTTCCAGCACTGCGGATGCCTGCAGGACGACGCCACCTGGCCAGCTCACCTGCCCCCGTCCGTCTCTTCAGGACGAGCAGCGCGTTGTCCTGACCCCGGCGCCACCAGACTCAGCGGCAATGCTGCCAGACCTGGATCCCGCCCCGCCGCCCAGATGCCCACCGCTGGCAAACCGCTCTGTGGACTCTCTGGCCCTGGCTAGCCAGATTGACCCAGTCAGCAAATCTGGCCGCCATGATAAGACAATCGGTCATGTAATGGTGGACCACGCCACACGGCTGCATTCAAGCATCGAGGAGCCATGGCACGGGTTCGTGCAGAAGCGGAGCGACGCGGTTGCACCTGAGACGGAAGATCATCAAATCGGCACCCGGTGTTGGGACCGCAGCACCTGCATGCGTGGGCAAGATATAGGGCAGTGCCATTCTGGACGTTGGAGTTCCCGACGCCTTCCCCTTGGACGGAAGACGGGCAGCATTGGCCCACGCTGTTGCCTGGCTCACGCACGCCAAGGGCAGGAAGAAAAACGAAGGCGGCAGAACCGACAACCTGAGGGCGCCGTGGGGGACCTTCCTGGGGTCCCGTGCAGCCCTGAGCGGACCGGCCCGTCCAGGTACGACGCAATTGCCTGGCAGCCTTCCTGGCCGGCCAGGGCTTCAAGCGTCTGAACTCCACTCGGCTCGCCTGTTACCGCCGCCCGACCCAAGTCGGGGACGCGGTGGACACTCCCGGGACGACGGCCACAGACGAGCCTCCAGGACCAGCGACTACTGACGCTACTCGGGACCTCGACCCCGCACCGACAAGGGACGCAACGGCCAGCCCCGCAGCAAACCAGGCGCAGCGGGTCAGATCCGTTCACCTGGAGGACCCTGCTGATCGGGAAGCCGGTGGCACGGCTCCAGGAGGAACCGAAAGCGAGACGGACCCCTTACTCCAGATTTCGTAATAAAGGGAGGGGGGTCTCATTTCGGGGGGGGGTCTCTTCCGGGCTATCCTGGAGGGCCTGGGGGGGGGGTCTGGGGACGATGCTTTGGAGGGTTCCCCCACGGGGGGGGGGGGTCTAAAACTTCTCGTCTGGGAGGGTCGAGACCCCCTCTTGAACGAAGGATTGCAAAAAAACCTTCGAAGGATCGCAAAAAACCCTTCGTTTTATTACGAAGGATTGCAAAACAAAAACCCTTCGAAGGATTGCACGAAGGATTGCAAAAAAACCCTCCGAAGGATTGCAAAAAAACCCCTACGAAGGATTGCAACAAAACCCTACGAGGTTTTTTTTGCACTCCTTCGTTCAAAAAAACCTTCGAAGGATTGCAATCCTCCCTTTTATTACGACGTCAGGGGTATCCAGTCGAGCAGGCAGGTGCCGACCGCAGGAGAGCCCCACCCCCGACGGAGGGCGGCGGCGCGGGCATAGGGCGGGGGGCACGGGGGGCAGCCGGGACCAGCCGGGGGCTGCCAGGACAGCTGACGAGCACCGCCTCAGCACAGCGGTCTCCGACGGAAGGGTTTGAAGGGGCCCCAGGACACACAAAAACATAAATACACACCAATAACACTATTCCCCATATCTTCCCATCTTTTCGGGGCTTTTGTCCTCCCCCCCACTTCCCATATTTTCCCATACTTTCTGGGAGTGGACGATTACTTGTGTCTGTGTGTTTTTTCCCCTCCTGAGGGTTGGCCACCACCTGCTGGCCAGGGCCGAAGACGCCGCTCGCCGCGTGTGTTGGCACACGCAGGCCGGCGAGACGGGGGAGCGATTCTGCCCCAGCGTACAGCCTGGCTCGGTGATCGGGCTGGTGGAGGAGGCCCGAACGGGACAACTTCTCTGCGCCAGGATTGGGGTCGAGGGGGACACGGTCTGGGACGGAGCAGGCTCCACGCACTTCGTCTGGATCGCTCACGACGGCCGTCCTGCCGACAGAGGCGGCGGTGG